TCAATCAGTCAGTTCTACGAGTTATGGTGCCCCACCTACTGCACTTAATTTTGGCCATTCTGCGAGCTGTGTCCATTACTATAGTTCTCCTACGAATTTGCTCATTTCTGAGTCGATCTCGTAAGAGTCAAAGCACACGATGAGTTGGGACGGCTCGTCGACCAAATGTCGGTGGGCTAGTACCGCGCCGAGGGCGGGATAGTGGTCCAAGCACCGACTGGCAGATTCCAGTTGAGATAAGCAGCCCGGGTCATGAGCGTCAGCTCGACGCCCGAACCGATCAGCAATAGTCGAAGAACCAGGATAGGATAGCGCCGCGATGCATCGTGTAAGGAGCTAGACTTACTGTGCGTAGGCATAGATACAGACTAACTAAGAGCTGGTGAACGCCAGACCTACGTCATTTTATAAAAGCTGAAAGTTTGTCGGCGTATGCTCCCAATATAGGATATAATGTTGGTGAATTATGAAGTTTGGGTCATCGTGACTTTAGCAGCTATCCTAAAAACTATCTGGCAAGGAGTTGGAACTGTCAAAACTGTCTGGCTGGCGTGGAAACAACTTCTAATCATTGCCCAAATATTACATAAAAATCAGATATGATATAACGTAAGTAGAATTACAGTCTATTGAATATACAGAAAAAGCCACCGTAAAAGTTAGGCTTACGTTTATAAAATGACGTAGGTCTGGCGTTCACAAGCTCTTAATCTACTTAATAGATAACTTGTAAACTTGTAATCCTATGGACCAGTGTTTTTCAACCTTTTTCATGACGCGACCCCCCTAGCATGAAAAAATTAAAATTTTTGCGACCCCCCACTTTTTTTTCATGCCTTTTACAAAGATGTTGTAGGGACCGGATTCTTCAATCTAAACAACATTTATGCATTTGTATAATTATATTTCAGATAAATCTAGCTTTTAAACTTCTCTGGCTTTTTTACTGAGGTAGTTTTTACGACCTCTCGCGATCCCTCTATAGAGGCTTCGCGACCCCCCAGGGGGTCTCAACCCACAGGTTGAAAAACACTGCTATATATTGTCCTGGCCGTTTAACCTGAGCTGACGCGTGCTGCGACTTACGCCGTAATCATGACTGATGTTAGAGTTATGCGGGAGCGTTAGCGTTTAACGCTTATGCGAAATCAAGTTTGTTGCGAAAACTTTACGCTCGGGGCCGGACTTAATTTAATTTTGTTTGAGCATTAAGGAGATAATGGGGAAATATGTATCAGGTTGCGTTAAAAAGTTACTTGCAGGTGCGTTTGAACTTTGAATGGAATGATTATCCTATACTCCTTCTAAAAATAAGATAATGTTTAATGTTCACAACTAAATTGATGGCTGATAATTTCTTTGTGATATTTAAATTCTCTTCAGTTCACTCATGTCCGTATTCACAAACGATGCTTGCTTAAGTGAAGCAGCAAATCTAAAGCACAGCATTGAATAGAGCTCTGTGATTGGTTCATGTGTTCACCTTGTGCGTCCACGCGCACTGTGAGACATCATAGTAATGTTTGTGCATACGGGCGTTATATTTACATGTCTCAAAAATAAATACCTTGCCCTACCGCTACCATGACTTTGAGCTTTGGGGCAAAAGATTTAGATATTTTAACCAACATTTCTATCTTAAATTAAGTTTTACTTACCTACTTCAGTACGGCTAGCACAAAAAACTTTCGAGTTTAAATCGTTTGCGTACTCGAATCGCCATCAAAAGATTTAGTAAGAAAACTACAACAGCGCCCTCGTGAACGTGTCGTAAAGTAAACTTAGTATGAGATGTGGTTGCAAGAAACTTATTTTGAGAATCAAAATTGTCACGTTATCGTTTAATTCGAAGATTGAGTATCGAATTTTATCGAATACGCAAACGATTCGAAGACGAAAGTTGTTCATGCTAGAGGTACGGGTCCACACATGGATGCTCTTCTTTTGGGATCACACGTATCTTTCTGAAGAATTGTGCTCACGTTAGGTAACTTAATCATCGTTTTATGAAAGATAATTAAATGTTTAAAGCACACACACAAGGTACCTTCCATTTTATCATCAAAGAGAGCGTGTAACTTAAAATTATTCTTTGTCCTCCATAGGAGTAACACTTCCGAAACATTATTTTGATGTTTAAAGAACGATTAATTTATAATATGACGGGGCTCGGTCAAAGATTCTCAAGTTTTATAATAAGGTGCATGTTCTTCGTTGATATTAATGTAGGTCAATAACAATACTAAAAAATAATATTATAATATCTGGATGTTTGCGTGAGTAAAAGTTGTTGTAAAATGTGTAGGTACCTATGACTTAAATAGTGAACTCAACATACTTAGTATAATTGGATCGTTAGAAGGTACATCATGATACATAATTATTCACTTTGGACATGATTAATGTAGCTAATCTTTAAATAAAACTAATTGAATATTACCCAATCCTCCAACACAGTATACAGCATAAAATATAGCTTTACCAATGTGTGTACCAACTTTTGGAATTCGTACCTAGAACTTTCCAATAGTGCCAACTCTACCTCAATATTATTAAGCCATGAAACTGTTACGACTTATTTAGAGCTCGTAACATTACCATTCGGTTTAATATTAATGTTTTAAAAGCGTTCCAATATGGTGTTATATGGCTCCATAAAGTTTGGGCACCGCTGGCCTATATTAAGCAGCGACCTTTGGCACCATTAATTAATGCTCTTAATGCTAGTCAAGTGTGCTAAATTAGGTATGTTAATTAATAAACTCAGCATTACCGTGTTTTAATTAAATATTTTCTTGAAAAATAAGGAGCTGGCGAGAACCGTTTTATATTTAGATACTTACGCTTTTACGTTTTCCTTGTTGGATTTTTTTTTTGTAGTGGAAATGTACAGAGTATACGTTTTTGTTGCAATATACAATTTATTACCAGTGCATTATAGGTATTTATTTAGCTTAAAGTGTTGTCGTGTATAATATTAACTAGCTTTTGCCCGCGGCTTCACCCGCGTGAACTTTAGTTTGTCACAGATCGTCATAAATTATAGCCTACATGTTATTCTGGGTTATAAACAATATTACTGTAGTTTCATCAAAATCCGTTCAGTAGTTTTTGCGTGAAAGAGTAACAAACATGTTGACATCCAGACATCCATAAAAACTTTCACATTTATAATATTAGTAGGATTTGTTGATTGGATATTTGTATGTTTCTTGGAAAGCCTTTGTCTATTTTACAAAAATAGTATAAAATAAAAACCACAAATAATGTATTATTTGATTTATTTCAAATAGGAATAAGTATTTAAAATATATTTAATTTACCTATCTAGGACAAAATATATTGTCTATATTTCACCATAAATTCCAAAAAAAGACTACACTTTAGAAGAGATTACAATAATTCAAATTATATTTTTGTCAATATTTTAACTTAGATTGCTAGTGCTTGTACCATCGGCAACAGTGTTAACTGCCCATTGCCAGTCATGTCATCTCGTTCTATCGCAAAGAATCGCCATTTGATTAGAGCGAGAGCAAAAACGGAAATGGATAGTTAACAGTGTCGGCCACACTGTTAACTATCCATTTCCGTGTGTGTACATCGACATTTAAAGTATTGGTATACAAAACAAGCCAACTTACAAACAACGTATGAATTTAGAAAAACAACTTAAACATTTTCGGTCAAAACACAACAACCAATAGAATAAAACAAGAACAGAATGTTCACAGCCTGCTGTTTATTTTAAGGGAATGTTTTATGCCTACACATTATTCTTGTTGTAGATTTTACTTAACTTAAGCAAACTACATATTGGATCTATCAATAGAAAGGAAGACAGGCACAAAAACAACTTACTAGCTAATGTCATTATCGTATACCTACGTAACTAAATAATAAAATTATAATACTTCATTCTTAAACCTACATGAGGATGTTTAACAAAAGTGGCGCGAATAAATATTGAGATACTCAAATCTCCACATAAAATAAACGTCATTTCTTTAAAGGTCTGATCAAATTGATAATCTTACTTGAATTAAAAAATGTATTACACAACTGCATTATCAAGTGAAATAGTGGCACGGCAAAAGTTACTCTCATTTCCTGTGTAATAAAGGACTACGTGCACACACACAGTATGTATACAAGTGTACATTAGTGTATATTAGTGCACTTGTATACATACTTCGATTCCTTTAGACTGAAGTTTAAATTACAATTTGCACACGATTGGAGTATAAAAATCGTATCAAATATATGCAATTTTGTGTGCGAATTGCAAATCTAACGGTTCAGATCTCCATATAAAATAAATAACTGACAGATATTGGGATGTATAGTCAAGTCTAAGTTAGTTTAATAAACAATATGAAAGATTATCTATTATTTACTGATTGCGAATTAAAAATCAATGTTTAGTTTATTTAAAAAATATTTCCGTTACAAGATTAGATTATAGTTGTCAAAATATATGTAAATACGCAACCCGAATTGCCAAAGTACGACGGAATTATATTGTGGCGTAACAATGATAACCTTTAGTATCCAAGAACACTAGGAAATCGTGTAACAATTCAGATTAATCGATTCTGTGTTTTCATAGATCTTGGTTTTTTCAAGTTCAATATTAAGGAAGATTTGACAATAAACAATTAAGGCCCGATTCGACCAAACTTTTATCCGAGAATAACTCCTGGTATAACTGGCACATTGACAGTTTCAGTATGGGAAATATGTCAAAATGTCGAATGACTGACGATTTATTCTGAGATTAATATTATTTTTTACTCTTGTTTGATCGAGTCCACCCTAACTTAAATTTAGCACTACACTCTTACCGAGCAGTAGGAGATTCTAAATAATCAAGTCACAAATAATAACAACAATGGCATACAGTCATATTCAAAATCAATATTGTAAAAATATGGCCAAATTTTTTTTACAGAGTTTTAACCAATTAAAGTAAACAAAAACCATACGACATGAACTTGANAAAAATCAACGACATGAACTTGACTGTATACCAATAACAAAATATAAATGCATACCAACATCTAATAATAGTTTCTATTGCACTTAAAATAAGATTCAATACTAAACGACAATAGATCAGATAATTGCAGATATGGCACGTAGGTAGAAACTGACTTACTGCAGCAGAGTTTTGTTGCGAAGGTTTTGGGCGGCTTGGAATGTGTTTTGCATGAGCATTGCAACTGTCATCGGGCCAACACCACCGGGCACCGGAGTGACTGCACCGGCGACTTTTTTCACTTCTGTAGACAAAAAACGGGTCAGCTTTGCACAGTAATTAGTTTCTTAGTACAAACTAGACTTTAAAACAAAGCAGAGGATAAGAATAAAATTTTATTCATAATATTTATTAGGTAGGTACTCTTTAATTTCATAGCTAACAAGTTTCATAGTTAACAAAAATCTGGAAAAACTTAAAGGTCTAACTAAAAAACTTACCTTCATAGTCAACATCACCAACGAGCTTGGTGTTTCCGACCTCGTCTGTCACTCTTGTGATGCCAACGTCGATCACCGTGGCACCTGGCTTCACCATATCTGCTTTGATAAGACTGGGAATACCTGTTGATTAAATAGTAAATAAATACACTGTATTAATTCACTCGCCTACAAATAAACATAGGTGCATAAAATTAAAATAAATATTCTATTACTTATTAATAAAGACCTCTTTTTTAGGACAGATCAAGAAAGAATATTCGCTGTCAGCGGGATTCGAACCCACTACTACGGCTGGGATAGCTGTCTCCGAGAACCAATGGCAACTACAGAACTACGATTACAGCCAGGTGAGTTATGTTTACATACAGAAAAGTAAGAAGTTATTAATAGAAAAAGTGGCCTTTCCTGAAAAAATATGACCTAGTGTCAATTATTTAAAAAATATTAGAAGGTACTGTAGTTTAATACTTTACCTGTAGCTGTGACAATGATGTCAGCATTACGGCAATAGAAGTCCAGTTTTTCCTTCGGTGTGTAGCGGTGACATATCGTGACGGTAGCATCCATTCCCAGGCCACTGTCGTGCTTCTTGTCAGAATGCAGCATCATGGCAATCGGCATCCCAACATTCTTTGACCGACCAACGACGACAGCGTTGCGGCCGAATGTCTCAATTTTGAATCTGCAAAAAAGTAGGTAAAGAACTATTGTTTCCACTGTAGCTACTTAGTCTTTGGTTTATTTTTGTACCTAAGTTTACTTTACATTTTATTTAGAAACACAGACCTTTTATAATTAATTTATACGTTTTTAATGAGTCCATTAATTACTTCTTACTGATAAACATGTAATTTTAAAAATGTTACTTTAATGAATTTTAAACTAAGGATGACATTGAATAAACAATAAGGTGAGACAAAAAGTAAATTACCTTTTGAGCATCTCAATAACAGCAAGGGCAGTGGCAGGCACAATAGTCGGCATATCCAAGCTCAGTTGTCCAACGTTGATGATATGGAAGCCATCAACATCCTTTTCCGGAGCCACAGTGTTGCAAACCTTCCTTTCATCCATAGATTGAGGCACAGGTAGTTGGACTAATATACCATCTATGGCTTCATCAGCGTTTAGCGCTTGGATCGCTTCAATCAACGCTGCTTCAGACATAGTTTCTTCATACTTGATAGTTGCAGCGTCAATGCCAACATACTTGGCCGCTGCTACTTTGTTACGGACGTAGGTGTGGCTGGCCGGGTCATCTCCAACTATTATGCAGCGCAGACTTGGTGCCCGGTGGCCAAGATTCACCCAGTTTTCGATTTTTGTTTTCAACTCATCCTTCACATCTTTGGCCAGGGCCTTCCCATCCAGGATCTGGGCCATTATCCTGACAACAAAAATTAAGGCATTAACTATTTGAATTGATTTTGTAAAGCTAGGTGTTTACAAAAATATTTACAACTGAGAAAACACAGTTACTACACAAACAAAAGCTTTGGTGTAGCCAAAACCACAACATTGAAACACATGAATAAATAAAGTGTCAAAATATACAACAGGTGCGATTAGAAAAACAAATAAATCACACATCTAATAATAATCAGCCACAATAGGTAAGCGTACAAATCACGTCTTTTTATTAATTTACCTGGCCGAGCCCAAGGAATCAATGTACGTGTGACTTCTCATCGTGGATTTCAGAAACGAACTGAATACATACTGGCAAAGGATTTGCCTCATCGCCTACTGTTGACGTACATAGTTCATTAGGTCACGCAAGACAAACAACTCGTTTTAAACGTTTGATAACAGCATGGAGTAATTTTTTGCAGTAAATGTCTGGTTCATATTGCTTTTAATTGGCTTAAAATGACATATTTAATAGGGTTATAGGTTCAAACTATATCAACATAGGTGAAGGTACGATCTGCTTTTAACCAGTGTAAAACGTGATAAAAGAGTCTTTCACTGGTTATTTCCAGTTTTAAATATCTCATAATGAGTAAGAAATAAAAGAATGTGTAAATAAGTTCTTTACTTGTTTTTACTCATTACCAATATTGATCAATAACATTTTTAGTCTGGCTCTAATAAGTGAATATAAATACATACCTTCTTAATTTCTGTTTTTATAATTATATTTTAACTAAGGTACTAANGATAAAGTATTGAATAATACTGAAATTGGATTTTGTTTACAAGTAGGTATTCAACGGTAAAAAGTTAAAGAAAAAAGAAGTAAAATTAGACTGCGTTGAAAATCTAAAGAAGATAAAGTTGGCACCGAAGCAAAAATGCCTGACTGTGAACTATATCGGAGCACTTTCACACAGTGAATGTGCATTGTATAGGTGTTAGGCCTCAGTCTTTGTTCGAAGGATATAGGTAATCACAGGAAATCATCAACCAATGTGTTTCAAACGACAGTAAAAACATCCTTATTTGCACCAAACAACAAAGAGTAACAACTAGAAGTTTTCGTGGCAATATTTCGTTGTTTTTCTCGTAATTATTGCATCATATTGAGCCTAAATTGACGTAGTTGACTACTTGTTTTATTCCTAAGTTATTTTTAATTAATCGTTATCAAATTCTACGTATTATCATGTACGTGTCTTTCAAATTAAAATATTTGTCTATATGTTACTAAGAAACAGTTTTCGTCAGCCTATTGCGAACAATTTTTTTATAATTAGCAAAAATCTCATAGGTGTAAGGTTACTTTAAATTACTTACGTATTTAGCTTTGTTGAAGAGTAACTTTTAATATAATCACAAATAATAAGTTTCTCTGTATGTTTTAGTAACTTTAATGTAATTTTACGATTAGTTTTATGTAATAAATAAATTAATTAAAACTATTTCGCAACTTCTAACCTCGCTACGTAAACTTTTTTGACGTTTTGGGTTTTGACAGGTGTAAGAAAGGTGGTGCGTGATGCGCATGCGTGTTGCGTTTTGTTTCTTAGCAAAATTTCAATAGTTTTTCGTAGGAATTCCTTGTAATAATTTGTGAAAATGACGGAGACTCCGTAATTTACTCCAAATAAACAATTAATACATAGTTCTACGTATTTATTGGCATCAAATAATTATTCCAATAACGTGATTACGTCAACCACAAAGGGTTGATTCTGCTGCTCTAAGCATCAATTTTGCAATACGAATGCTGGTAGAATAACCAGTGTTATTATTCGTTAATACGGTTGAAGATCAGGAATTAAAATCTAGAATTATATGACGGAAAATGTGCGCACCCACGTGCTAGAGTAGTAAAATCACGCCTCTTCTGCGTGAGCGCGCGTAAGTGGGCGCGGTTGTGACGCGGAGGTTATCCCGATGTCCAGTGTCAATGTTTCGACACAACAGTAATTAGCGTAGAGATATGCAATAACAACATCTTGTTTCAAAGACGTCATTTTAAGGCGTGAGTACAATAAATAATTACGTAAATTCCAATCATTTAGAATTAACCAGAAGCTAAAAATTATAGTAGAGTATGTAGATAGGCATGATTTTTATGGCAGGCAATGTTAGATAACGCACGAATTTTAAAATATGTATTTAAACAGTTGGACTATTAAAAGGAAAAGGAAAAGGCTGCCCACCGTCCCATCTAGGCTTCATGGGGAGTGCAGGTCAAATCCTTCGTTTGCCTTTGATAAATTGGATACCTATTAGGTACCTAAATGACTGATGATGACTTCTCGAATCTCGTCATCTCAGTGCAGAATCAGTAGGTACCTAAAGTACACTGCAGCACTATCCTACCACGCTGACTTGAAGTCAGCTTAAGTTGTGACTCAAGTCATAGGTAAGTTATTAAAAAAAGTGCTTTTTAATAATGTGTTCTAAGTTTTATACAGTATTGCAGATCACCTTATCATTTTGCTATCGCACTCTACTTACCCCCCGCGATCGCGTTAAAATAACACAAATGACCACAATAATAGCATTAGTAATTATAATCAAACTTACATGTTTTATGTATGAGGCACCGTGCACACTTGCCTTGATGTCAGGGAAATGACTTTTATATGCATTTTATCGATGCTTTTTATCAGATAGTACGTAAATTGGAGCGATGCGGTTTCGATGTGGAGAGCCATGATAAGATTTGTAGGTTGAAAACAATGTTTGGCGTGAGAATAATTAATCATAATGTTATTAAAACAATTTATATTCAAAACAATGTTACCTACATATTATTTCACTTAGGTACACCTACCTAATTAGTTACAACAAAATGGTAAATTCATCATCATCATCATCACTTCAGCCATAGGACGTCCACTGCTGAACATAGGCCTCCCCTAATGCTTTCCACGTTGATCCGTAGCGGCATGCATACAGCGCTTCCCTGCTACCTTTACGATGTCGTCGGTCCACCTGGTACCATTACCATTAAATTATTGCGCACGCGTACCTATACGCACCAATGGTAAATTATATATTATTCTCAAAAATTTATTAAGTACCTAAGTACCTATTTCCGGAAGCATTTTCTATTTAGAATTCATTTGGAAAGGTTTGTTTAGGTTTTAGGTATTTTCAATTCTTATTTACTTAATCTGACAAGAAAAATTGAACCTGAGACCTGAGAGCTACGTTCACTAATCTATCGATCCATGAATATTATTCGTCGTTAGAGATCACATAATTATGTTGATTTAGTCCTGAAACGACCAGGCCTTTAAAACTATAGCAGGCCTACTTACTTTCATAGTCAGCAGGTAACTTATTTTTAGTTAATTAGGTATCTAATCTGCGTCAGAGCAGAGTGTCTGCGTCGAAATATCAGTTTCGTCAAAAGAAAAATACATTCTAAAAAGTCCCGTTAATACGATACATTAACAATTTAACTTTATCTGTTTTTTCCAAAAAAAAACTGTTTATTAAAATTCAGAGAAAATTTTGTTTAAGAACTTTAAATATTTTTGTAATTTCAAACACAACAGCGCGTAAAGCATCAAAGTATCTGAAACTTCTGAAGAATCAAAATTTAATATAATTTTTTCTCTGTTTTCGGGTAGTCTTCAATCCCGCAAGTTTGACGAAGTTGCTTCCCACTCAGATGGCTAATATTCAATTAAAACTTTTTAATTTCTCTCGAACCCTAGCAATATTTTTTGTTTACGCGCACCGTGCTCGAAAATAAACATTATGAAATCCCAAATATGTTATTTAGAAGTCGCTTAAGAATATAAACACTTTGAAAAGGTGCTGGGTATTTAAGATGTAACTTTTTTAGGAATATTATTGTTTTTTTACTTTTAAAGTACTTCAATGGACTTTTTAATTTAACTTAAAACGAATCTATAGTTTAAGACAAAATTTTATTGTACCTGCCTTCATTTTAGCCTTTCGTCTTTCCCTGGGTTAGGTAAGCAGCTTTTGTTGACGTTGTCGCAGTGACAGTACCTAGTCATAAAGTAGGTTATCTATAGTCTGGTCGCCGAGCACGTAGAATTTTGTCCAATGACCCCAAGCTACATAACCTTATCGCTCGCGCGTAATTATTTACAACTTTTACAGACTCTACCAATGGTATCTACCTACTAGGTACGCGTTCTGCATAGATTTAGGCCCCATTCAATCGATGTGATTGGAATTTGGAAACATTTGCAAGGAACCATGAAGTACCGTATTATTAGCTAAATCAGCCTAAGCTGGTATAATTATAATCTTGTTATGACCTTTTATCTTATCACATGGCCTAGGTGAATAACATTGCCTATACTTGACCTTTAGATAATATTTAGATTCTTAATGTGCATAGTAACTAGATCGTAAATAAGAGCTATATCCTGTATAAAATATTAAACAATAATAATAAGATAGCGGCCTAAACTATTTCGGAAACGTATTTTTGAATCATTCGAATTCCAAATTTCATACGAAACCGCACAAAATTTTATTGCATGACGAATCTTTTTACAGATTCAAATGTCTTCATTACAAAATGTTTTATATTCTAAGAGAGATCATTACATGGTGTTTGTTGTTATGTGCAACAGACTTTTGACTGGAGTTTTTCCATGTCAAACAAATTCAAATAAAAGTATTTTCAGGAATCACATCAACTGTACGGTAGGTAGGTACGATTGGTACTGGTCTAGAGCAAACCAAGACCACCTACATACCTTTAGGTAGGTAGGTACTATTACAAGTCATCGAACCTAAACCTACGTCAAAGCCTAAGATAAGTCCTTCACCTTTCGACCGTAGCACCCATTGTAGCATCCATCAATAACGAATACAAATCGGTACCATTTTACAGTCATTAATCATGTTCAATCATTTTATTGTTCGTTATAATAACTTACTTAGTCGTTTGTTTATTTACTGATTAATACCTTAAAGCACTTTGTACATTTGTATACATATAGTTGTATATCTCCGAGTGGTCAGTTGCAGTACAACAAACTGTCACTGTAAAAATAAAAGATGGCGTGGTCGAAGTTGGAGTCTGCACGCATAGCAGACGGTCTGCGCATAGGTGGAACATGTCGGGAAAGGCCTCGCTACACCGGCTCCCACCTATGCTTAGCGAGACGGAGATGGTGGATTTTTAGTGGGTAGGCCCCTCCCTTCTGGAGGGGAGAGTCCCACATAACCCGCCGCCTGACCACAGTGGCGGGTATGCAACTCAATGCATTTTACCACCGAAAAAAAAAGGACCTTAACCACGGCAGTCCAGTTTTGCGGGACCCAGTAATGCAGGATTCCGTAAAACTGTCGTGTGAACAAGCAATTAGTGTTTATTGAATTGAAATTTGAAGTTTTGAACGGATCGGTTTTAGCGGGATATTGCAAAAGGGATGTAGAACACGTAGGTACCTACTACTAAACGGAATCCTGTAAAAAAGAGTTCCTGCAAAAAAATGGGTCGTCTCCGTGTGGAAGAGCCCTAGTCTATCGCTTTCAACCTCAATCAATCAATAACAATATTGATCATTGTTGTGTTTCGGCAGTTGAAGGTTAGATAGCAAGTTCCTCTGTGGTTTTTTACCCGACTGCACCAGAAGGAGGGTTATGTTATTTACGGGACAGGAGGTAAACGATGTTGGGGACGTGGTTGGGGATTTCAGGTGAAGCTTGTATTCACCTTCGGCCTGATCAGCATTTTCCATCAAATAAGATGCGAGCCAAGAGATTCTCCGTAAAAAAACTTATTTTCGTTTAGACTGACGTCCAATTCATGCGTCCAACAAATTAAAAAAAAACTAGTTCTATAGTAGGCCATCTATCATTCACCTATTATATCAGTAGGTCTATATAAAATCTTACTCTATTTTAACAAGCAAGGTAGGTAGTTATCAAGAAAGGCCAGTGAATCAATATCCAACATGCTATAGACTTTATTACTAGGCTTGCGTGTCTCACCAACCTTACACGAAAGGGTGCAAATGATGAACTGTTATTATCATGGTACACCATCTATCAGTAGATAAAAACTTGGTAACTGCCGTGACCTATAATCGAGTAATCACTATTAGGGGTCGACTACAAAATCATTTCGATTTATTGATTGTTTTTGAGAGAGAGAGAGAGAGAGAGAGATAGTTTCTCTCTCTCTCTTACGCTTACCCCCTTACTAATAAAAAGTTGCAAGCTTGTTGAACACTGTTTTAAATTGACATTTCCATACTAAACGTCATTTTAAAACACTGTTCAACGAGTGTGTAATTTTTATTAGTAAGGGGGTAAATTATGCCTTTAGCTTGTGTAAATAAGTCCTGAAATAGTCAAGTCAAAATTTCTTTATTTGTTTAGACTAATAAATAGTTCTTACAAATCGTCATTTTGCTCTTAAGGAGCCTCTACATGTCTCATAATCTTTTTACCCTACCAGCGCTTCGAGACCAAAATTTGGCAAGTGCTGAGAAGAAGCGCCGCAACAAACTCAGTC